TGACATACCGTTTCAAAATTTATCATTTATTTATTTTACAATTTTGAAAAAAAAAAAAAAAAAGTGATTTAAAGGGCGTTTTGGTCATTTTAAAATTTACTTTGGTACTTGGAGGTGATTTTTTTTTCTTTTTTTGATGAGAAACGATAGCATTTTATCGAGCAATCATAAGTCAATCGATATCAAAGAGGGCCTCCACAATCGAGTCCGGAGGCTCCTCAAACCAACAAAACTCAATAGGAGAAGAAACAGCCAACTTGCCATACCATGTGCGGCAACGTTAGCAGTACGGTGCACAAAACAAACTTGCGAATCCCCAAAGGCCCGCAAACTAACACGGATGTCATCCACCAGAAGATTCATGGGAGAAGACCCATGGACTCGGTTACCAATAGCTTGAACCACTTACAGTGAATCACTCTCCACAATAACTCTAGGCAAATTCCGTTCCACAGCCCAACGAATCCCCTCACGAACAGCAAGTAACTCCACCATGGTAAGACTCGATGCAGGGGATATTTGGCGAACAAAACCTCCAACATAGCTATCGGCTTCATCACGAAATACCGCACCTACACCTCCCACATTCGACCCAGGGAGAAAAGAGCCATCAACATTGATTTTCACCCACCCAGCCGGATGGGGACTCCAACTCGACAACGCCTGAAGTGGACAGGAAAGATGAAAAACTAAAGCTAGATTAACCACGTTGTTATCCCAAAGCAAAATGTTCCTAGCACGCCAGATACCATACAGAGTCATAAATAGCAAAGCTAATTGACTTGAAGATAACTGATCCACACATAATGAGAGCCAATCACACGTTGAAGCTTGCGCCAGGAGCCTTAACCCCATTTTTAATTGAGAAGATGCGTACACGCACGAGCAAATGGACAATCTTTGAAAACATGTAACGCCAACTCCGAATAGGAACTTCAAAAAAAAAACATATTTTGTCCACTACAACTCCCTTGGTTTCCAAATTAACACGAGTAGGTAAAATATCGCTACAAGCCCTCCAAACACACATCTTAATTTTGCTCGGGATAGTCGCCTTCCACATAGCTTTCTAAACATAAGCCCTTATCGAAACCAGGTGTGAAAAGGAAGCCTCAAAACGGCGATTGAAAGCTACCTTATAAGCACTCTTTACTGAGAACAAACATTTCACATCATAATGCCATATTAACTTATCTGGAGGCAATCTGCAACTTAGTGGAGTTGCAAGAATCAATGCTGCCTCACAAGGAGGAAATAACTCATTAACCAAATTATAGTTCTAAGATGCCGTTTCCGCAACAATCAAATCTGTTATATACTCCACTCCAACAACCGGGGAAGAAGGCATGAGAGGTCGAAACAAATGGGGACGGTCAAGCCACCGATCATGCCATATTCTTATCGAACTACCATCCCCTACCCGTCAGCGTGTCCCACTTTCCAGGATTGATCTAGCTTCCAAGATGCCTTCCCAACACACAAAAGGAGATGACCCTAGTGACGTCTGCCAGAAAGTGTTATGAGGAAAGTACTTGGCCTTCAATAATCGGGACGCTAAAGAATCTAGATTTTGAACCAGCCGTCAGCCTTGTTTGGCAAAGAGCGCAAGGTTGAAATCATACAATGAACGAAAGCAAGGACCATCATCTTCCTTGGACCGGCACATGTTTTCCCATGACATCCAATGGAAGCGACGGGAACCTTCACCATCCCCCTACCAGAACCGATAAAGTATGCGCTGAAGATCCTCGTAGAAGGTTTTCGGCAGAAGAAAACAATTCATTGAGTAAATAGGTAGAGATTGCCCGACCACCTTAATAAGAATCTCCTTGCCCGCAATGTTGAGTAGCTTTTCTTTCCAGCTTTTTAGCTTTTTCCAGTGACGATCCTTAATATAAGAAAATTGTTTAGAGCGGTTCCTCCCAAGCACAATAGGCAAACCAAGATAACGATCCTACACATCCACACGTATTACACCTAAGTAAGCAACCAATTGATCTTGAATATCCCGCCTAATATTGGGTGAAAATGGTACCGCACACTTCTGAAAATTTATACACTATCCAGAGGCCACTTCGTAAAGTCGTAATACTTCTTAAGATACCAACACTCCTGGAACGATGCTCTCATAAACAAGAAACTTTAGTCAGCAAACAACATATGAGAAATAATAGGCGCCTCACAACAGATAGAGACACCATGAATAAAATCGAGCCTTTCATAACGAGCAAACAAACTGGTCTCTTCCACACTGAGAAGAAATAAATAAAGGGAGAGAGGATCCCTTTGCCTGAGCCCACGGATGGGAGCAATGTACCCTGTAACATCTCCATTAACTAGAAAGGAGTATATGATTGAACTAACGTAGCCTATAATCAAATATGTCCATCGAGGATCAAAACCGAGTTGCAACATAATTTTCTTGAGAAAGTTCCATTCGACCTGATCATAAGCCTTGCTCATATCAAGCTTCAAGGCTAGATAACCCCGTTTACCCATTCGAAGATTATGAAGGTAATGACCAAACTTGGAAGCTATAAGGGAATTGTTTGAAATTAATCGGCTTGGAACAAAAGCACCTTGCTGTGTTGAAACAATTGCATCCATCATCCACTTTGACCGATTCACAATAACTTTAGCCCCCATCTTGTAGAGGACATTACACAACGCTATGGGCCGGAGCTGGGTTATATTTGTCGGCTCATGGACCTTAGGAATTAGAGAAACAGTGGTATAATTTAGTTGCTTGAAGATGCGGCCAGAGATAAGGAAAGACTTTACAGCAACAATCACATCCGTTCCAACAATGTCCCATAACTTTTGATAAAACAGAGGAAATAACCCATCTGACCCTAGAGTCGTGTGTGGGTCCATTTGGAAAAGTGCCTCCTTAATCTCGATATCCGAATAATCAGCGCATAGCATACGGTTGATATCCTGAGCGACACGCTTGGGAACAGATTCTAGAATCACATCACAAGGGAACTCACCATTTGATTTGAACATAAAGGAGAAATAGTCAACTACAACCTGTTCAATATCTCCAGAGGAAACACACCAAGTGTTGTTTGCATCAAACAAACCTTTTATACTATTTTTCTGGCGACGGTTAGAAGCTTTCTGATGAAAATACCTCGTGTTTTGATCCCTATCCTGCAACCAGGTAGCCTTGGACCACTGCTTCCAATGGGCCTCCTCCTGAGTAAGTAGAGACTCAAGCTTACTAAAGAGAGAACTCCTGAGCTCCCATTCCACCCCATCAGAAGGTTGTTGAAAAAGAATTTGCATTTGGTCATGGACCACCTTAATTTCCTGTTGAACAAAACTTAAAAAGCGCTTCTATTTCAACAGTTCAACACGAATTGCCTTTATTTTTTTGCAAACACGATACGACGGTGTTCCAGGAACACTCTTGGAGGTGAGTTTAGAATAGACGGATAGAGCTCAATACCATGAGCGCATATACACAAACTTTACGAGCCTTGAAATATGAGAAATTTGGTCTTTTGCACATACTATGAATATAATTACTGAAATTGGAAACCTCCTATTTTGAAAACTTTTTATCCCATATCCTTTTACACTTGTCGAGGTCACTACCTTAGGTTAAGGAGTGAGGATCTCGAGGGTCCTCAAATCACATACTATTCATCGTACATTGTACAATCATAAATCATTGTAAATTTTTTATTTAAAATTAAATATAAACAGTACCTGATGAATACTAACCGCACGATGTACAATAAACGAACGTAATTGGAGGATCTCTAGAATCCTCATAAAGAATCTGCAATCCTCTCTCTACGTTATGGACTCATTTGGTCCCACAACATTATCCCTTCCAATCACCATTTTCTAGAAGAAAAAACTTTCCTTTTGTTAGAAATCCAACTTTACCCTCAAGCTCGACAGGATCTCTTCATTTCTTCTTTAACAGACTTTGAATATCGTAATTTTACAATCCAATCCAATCCAATCCCACTAACTAAACAAGCCTTAACTCACTAATAGAGAAAAAGAAATGAGACAGTGACCAATAAGTATGTTTTCATGACTGATCCTGTCACATCCCGGCCCGGGTGGGACGACTTCCCGGGCCCGCTCTACCACCGTAGCACGATATTGTCCGCTTTGGGCTTACCATTCCCTCACGGTTTTGTTTTTGGGAACTCACGAGCAACTTCCCAGAGGGTCACCCATCCTGGGAATGCTCTAGCCCTCTTCTCGCTTAACTTCGGAGTTCCTACGGAACCCGAAGCCAGTGAGCTCCCAAAAGGCCTCGTGCTAGGTAGGATGAGAATATACATATAAGGATCAGTCCCCTGGGCGATGTGGGATGTCACAATCCACCCCCCTTAGGGGCCCGACGTCCTCGTCGGCACATTTCCGGCCAGGGATAGGCTCTGATACCAAATTGTCACATCCCGGCCCGGGTGGGACGACTTCCCGGGCCCGCTCCACCACCGTAGCACGATATTGTCCGCTTTGGGCTTACCATTCCCTCACGGTTTTGTTTTTGGGAACTCACGAGCAACTTCCCAGAGGGTCACCCATCCTGGGAGTGCTCTAGCCCTCTTCTCGCTTAACTTCGGAGTTCCTACGGAACCCGAAGCCAGTGAGCTCCCAAAAGGCCTCGTGCTAGGTAGGATGAGAATATACATATAAGGATCAGTCCCCTGGGCGATGTGGGATGTCACAGATCCAACTTTTACTTTCATTTTAAGAAGCTGGAACCCATTTCTTCTTTCCACGTTACGGCATACACCAATCCTTGACACTAAACGAGGGTCGAGTGTCCATTGTAGTATTTCAGTCTATAGAACCAGATCATAAGGCTGAGGGCCTGCAGGCCTGAGGCTTTTAGTGCAAGTAGGAAGCCAGTAGAAAAAGGAAAAGTTTAATTAAACCAATTAGAAACTTTGTCTTCTGGAGAGGAAACGAATCACAGTAGCAGTTGCTTTGTGATATTTAAGACCGATGAATCTTTCACTTCTGTCAAATTAAGAAAATGTCGTAAAGTTGTAGAGTTTATTATGAGAACTCCTGATAACTCAATCTAGCTTTAAAAAAGTTGACATTGTTCAGACAAATGACCGATTTATTGTTCTAAACTACTTTTGCTTGTCGGAGTGAAGATCTTGCTTGTAATGCAAGAATCAAAAGATTTGAAACAGTTCCAATTTTCGAGACAGCATATATAAAGGAGCAGAATAAATTTCGGTGTCTGCAGCCTGTGGTCGATCAACGATCGCCATGGCAGACACGAAATGGATTATTCAAGTTAACGAAGAGGTCGATAAGATGCAGGATCTTCCGATAGAGGAGGAGCATTGGAGCAAGGGGTCGATATACAGATTGCCAACCTGCATCACGGACGTTAACAAGAAGGCCTACAAGCCCCAGGTGGTCTCATTCGGGCCTTACCATTTCAATAATTTAAATCCAATGGAAGAGCACAAGCGCCGTGCGCTTGTCCATTTCCTGAAAAGATGTGGAAACCTGATGAGCTGTTCATCAACGCGCTGGCTGAAGTGGTGCAGGATTTGAAGGACTCGTACAATCCGCTTGAGCCTGAGTGGAAAGGTGATACAGATAGATTCTTACAGTTGATGATTCTGGATGGCTGTTTCATGCTGGAAGTCTTGCGGGTTGCTTCTCATTTAATGGATGATTACGCTCCCAATGATCCCGTCTTCAGCAACCACGGGAAGCTCCATATGATGCCGTACATCAAGCGCGACATGTTGATGCTTGAGAATCAGTTGCCGATCCTGGTTCTTGACAAGCTGGTTGCGGTTGAGAGCAATGACGCTAAGGTATACGAGTCCGTAATGTAGAGAGTGTCAATCTCACGTCAGGAAATCAAATTGTTGCACAATAATTATATAAAATCTCGAACCTCTGCATCTGCACCCATTGCCAATTGATTTTCGTTGGATGCTAATAACTTAACACATAAGATTCTGTATCCCATGTGGGATGCTCATGTTCTAACACATAGTCCTCTGTATCCTATGTTGATGTTTTTCGTTGCACAATAATCTCTATTTGTTTTCTGGCAGGATGAAGGGTTTGTCATCAAGCTCCTAATCAAGTTCTTCTCCACCGGTACAGCAGCCTCAATCATGGGAAAATGTGTGCACGCATTGGATGTGTATAGGAAGAGCCAGCTTCAGGGAGAGCCCTATTGCAAAACAGGTCACTGCAGACCAGAGATGGTGAATCGTCACGAGGAAATCATCTGGTCAGCGACAGAGCTCAATGAAGCCGGGATCAGATTCAAGAAAAGCAAAACCACTAGCCTCAAAGATATCTCATTCTCCGGGGGAGTCCTCAGGCTCCCATCCATCATTGTGGATGACACCACCGAACCCATGTTCTTGAATCTGATAGCGTTTGAGCGCTTCCATGTTGGGGCAGGCAACGAGGTCACATCCTATATATTTTTCATGGACAATATCATAGACAATGCCAGAGATGTTGCCCTCCTACACTCAAAAGGTATCATCCATAGTGCCCTGGGAAGCGACAAGGCAGTTGCGGATCTTTTCAACTCGCTCTCTAAGGACATAACGCTTGATCCAGGCAGCAGCCTTGATGCGGTGCATAAGAACGTGTATCACTACTGCAAGAAGCCTTGGAACGCCTGGCGCGCCAATCTCATGCACACTTATTTCAGGAATCCATGGGCTATTATTTCCCTCGTTGCCGGTGTCTTCCTCTTCGTGCTCACTATAGTTCAGACCGGATACTCCATATATCCCTACTACTTTCCAAATGATGGTTCTCCCACCTGTGCATGTACTGTTAACAATTCTACTAGCCCTGCGCCTCCTCCTCCGTCTCCACCAAACGCTGCAGACTCCACCGCACCATCAAGATTTATAATTTCTTTCGTTCTTATGTCGGTTGTATGGATGCTTACAGGTTGAAGATGGTTTTGATCATTCCCAACAATCATCTGTGGGTTTTGGGAGGTTTCTTTCATAATTCTTCTCCATATTTGTTTGAAAAATAAGCTAGGTGCTAGTCGACCGGTGGATTGAGGCCTAGTGTCTAGGCGGATTTAAGTAAATCTATTGTATTTCGTGTAAATAAGTGTCTGTTTACAAAAATATATATAATTTCATCATAAACTAGAAAATAGAATGACATATATATTATGAAGTATTAGAACACAATGAAAATATAAGGAGCAAACATATAATGTGTGTTTTGTTTAAATGTTGAATAAGTCTCTTATAATTTATTGAAATAATAAAATGCAAAAGGAAAGTTATCTATTTTATATCGAAGTAAATTGCAACCAAGGCAGGTGTCTAGGCGGGTTTGGACGGGCTAGAAGGGTGCAAAAGCTGTCTAGGCGGGCACCTCAACAGGTCTAGACGCCCTTTCTAAATTTTCAAATTCCTAGACAATAATCATGACGGTGGCCAATCGTCTAACGCTTAGATTATGATCTTTAGAACAATGGTTTGAATGATTTCTTGTTTGCTCGATGTCCAAGAAACACCAGATTCATTTATCTTCCATCCATAAATAATTCATCAGTGAGGGAAAATGCATGTTGCAAGATGACGATTTCTCGAAGTAGTATTATATAATGATTGATTTCATAAAAGTACCGACACATGAATAATACCCCGTTTCTAAATCTTTCCATACAATTTTCAGTCCTCACAAAGAAAATTTGGGCCTGCTTCATCTTCTGTACAGAAGCTCCTACTATCTACATGGAAAGAGTGGGGGAAAGACCGCGTACCTGCCGGGGCCTCTACGAAAGACCAAACTCCGCATTCTTTCATATCTCGAAATGCAACTAACCAAAATCAGTTGAACAATTTGGCTTCTACAGTCCAAGAAAAAAGTGACTCTACTTGCGCGGGCACTTCAGTCATATTACCCGAGAGCTGCTCTTTATCACTTCATTTTCCGATTCCAATCAAGGTAAGCTGCAAGAGATAATATAGATTATCAGGCTTCCCCCAATAAAATCCAAAGAGGAAATGACATCTAACACAAGAAAGAAAGAAAAAGGAATTACAATGTTGTTCTCAGGCTTCCCCCAATAGAATCCAAAGAGGACAACTGGCAATATATTGCAGGCTATGAGTACGAAAATCATCAGTGCATGCATTCCCATCCATTCCATCACAATAGCGGGGCGCCTATAGCCACACACATCGACCTGAGGGAAGAAGAAGAAGAAGAAACCGTGCAGTGTGAAAACTAGGAAGGCCGAAGCATGAAGTACTTATGCTAAGACGGTGTCATAGAGAGAATTAAAAGAAATTGTGAAAAAAGTTTCTCTCAAATTCCTTGACTTGACTTGAAACCCTACCATCAAGTAAATTGCAGCGAAGAGAATTCCAGCAGCACCAGCTGTGATACACATATAACTGAATGTGTAAAGAGCCTTGTTAATATGCATGCCTGAGAAAAAAGAAGCATAAAAAGGATAGTTTAGTGATAAAAAAATTGCAGCTAATTTCATTCTATATGTGTGTGTGCGCGCGCGTGTAACAAAATTGTACTGGAATTGCGTACCAATTAAGTCGAGGGTGAGGCCTAAGACTACAAGAGACGAGGATGAAATAGACCAGTGTAGGATTCTTTCCCGGTGATCCTGCATTTGGAGGGAGTAATAGTTACAGAGATGAATCCTCTGAGGAAGAAAAGAAGTACCTGATATGAAGTTTTCTCACCTTAAAATGGACAATGATGTGCCCGTAGTGCAAACCAACCAAGCAGGTAACAATAGCCATCATTGAACTGCAACGACGAAGGGCAAAGCAAATAAATTTTAAAACACAAAAAGATTAGAAACAAATAACTAAAATACATGTCTCTCGAAATTGTAATGTAATCGGATTCTGTAAAGAAGTAAAAAAAGACACCTCAGAAGTCCTTCAGGATCAAAAGGGGCTTGGCACCAAGAAGGAGCATCGGCAGGCAACGGGCCATAATCAGGGGAGTTAATACTGCATTGCTGTAAAATAGCAAATAAAAGTTAATCATTACTAATGACAGTGAGGAACACTGCAAATAAATGAAATTAAGTAAGGAAATAGATTCTTACCTCCGTTCGTGCGTAGACTGGTCTTTTATATAAATGCTCAATCCCCAATATCGTACGATCAATCATCCCAACTGCATTGCAAGCCGATCCTGTGTCACCCCGTACTCCACATTTTACCTACAAAAAAGAGATGAGTATAAAAGCGGGATATATCTTTATAAAGCAAAACATACGCCGAATTCTCAAACATATTATGAAAAATTAAGGTAAGAACTAAGAAACAAATGATGGAAACTTACTGAAAATGTTTTTAGTGCAGAGGAGGAATCGACAGGAATCTGGTACTCCCAATCAGGAACGTATAATCCGTATAACAATGACAGGTATATCGTGGTGATTATCAATGCCACCGCCCTGAGAAACAGGGCATACATTTTTTAAAATGGAGCAATATACACATTAGTGTTCGAGTGGTGCAGAAAAACAAAAAAATAGGGCTACTAATGCAGATAAATATTACTTACAACTGAGATCGATATTTCCTGAGCAGCGATCTTCCTGAGTTGACATTACTATCACGCTTTAGCCAAATCTCGCACAATGCTGCTACAATATATCCAATCGCAATTCTCTGTGAACAAAAGAATTAGTTAACTTTTCTCTCAAGTTTCTAACTTAAGAAATAACCCTACTGAAATACAGCATACCTGTAGAATGCCCATCCATCTCATCTTTGTGATATCAACCCCGAAAGTAAGATCCTTGACGCGATGGAAAAATCCGCCTGGACAAAAGATATGTCGGACATTGCTTAGTATACAAAATCTTATAGTTTGCAAATCAAACTTTGCAGTAAAAGTCTTTTGTAGAAGACATAAAATTACCAGTTCACTATTGCCATATGAACATATCAATCAAATGTTAATAGCTTGACAATAGAGAAAAATTTCGGTTTGACTGTCTAATATATTAGTGTACCTTGAAGAAAAAGGCCTAATGCTAGAAGCTTCAGCGTCCGTAAAACTGCTTTTTTCGTAGCATCGGCTCCGCATGACGGTTTCTGTACGCAGAAACATTTATCTGTTAGCTAGCTTCTTCTTAAAACTGTGACGGAGATCACGTAATCATGAAAAAAAAATGAATTGATGGAGCAAGAAATGTAAAGTGTACCTTGTAGGCAAGTGCAAGGGAAAGACCAACAATAAACAGGAAAAATGGCATGACTAAATCTGCAAGGGTTAAACCATTCCAAGGTGAATGGTTAATTGCAGGCATGATTCCACCCATGTCGTCCACTATTATCATCAGCTGCATCAAACAATGGCAAGCAATTATGGAAACGAACATAACAGGATTCACAACTACCGGTGACTATGGGTCGTGTTTAATTTATCTATTTATGTTGGTATCATGTTCACGTGAAACAACGGCTAATCGACATGTCAAATGATGTAATAAATAGAACAATACAAGCAGTTGTACTAAAACAAGGTATGCGATTATGAACAGAGTTCTATTAAATGTTGGGGTGTGATATCCACATATCCCTTTTTACTTCTCTCACACCTTTTTGGTTTTTAACCGTCAGATTGAATGAATTGAAAAAGATCAACAGATAGAAATTAACAAGAGTGCGAGATAAATGTTTTTATATTCGTACGAGTTAGTAGAGCACAAGTTATGTAAGATGTATATGAAATTGTAATTAGATTTTCGTTTTTTTTTATGAAATATTGAAAGAAGAAGAGAAACTGCTTTTGCACTGGTTTCCAAGTGGCAGGCATTCAGAGCTTTTTGACATAACTCAAAGCAAGTAATGCCTGCAACACGTAAAATATTTGATAAATCGACGCCATGCAAATTTATGGATGGACCAACCAGCTGGAGTTGCAGCGACTGCGGGCGAAGCCGACATACTTGGGACGTATGACCCATCTCTACATGTCAGATGCCATAGATTTGGTACATCAGCCCATCACATGAGAGTAAGAAAAAGTAAAATACCCATATTCCGAATAGGAGAGATAGAAGCTTATCTACAACATCGTATGTATAACACGAGAGTGTTTTTGATAAGAATGCTGTATTTGGATCACATACCAAATGAATAAGAACCGACATGTTATCCAAATGCGCATACTAAAATTAAAGAAATAAGAACCAACACGTGATCCGAATGCTCATACTAAATTTTTATGACTACAGGTAAAATAAAATATATTCCGGTTATATATAAGAATCTATCAAAAGTGGAGGTAGATTTTAGGCGCACGGTGGTGGAGCTCCAAGTCACTCGATGCAAAAAGCAAAAGATAGAGAAATGGGCATTGATTGAGGAGGCCGGTGTCTTTTGATCAAAGCCTTGCAAAAGGAGAGGCAAAAGGAAAGACAAAAGGAGGGTGTCGTGTCCATTGCATTTGATGTCGCATGTGAATCGAGATCGGATTGGCACACGAATATTTACAAACGGATTGATCACAATAATAACAAGAAGATTAAATCTTTTTTTTTTTCTTTCATTAAATTACGTAATTAGTCGGTGGATTTGTATTATAATTTAGATTTCTTCTCTGAATTAAAAAAATGTTAATTTTCGTTTTTGAATTTGACAAAATCTGAAAATTGGTTTTTCCATTAGGTTAATTACGTGGCATCAAGATTTAAAATAAAAATTAAATTTATTAAAAATCTAGTATTTGAAAATAATAATTCCAAGAATTTTAAATAGTCAACATGTTTTACTTTTAAATAGATCGGTGGTGTGGATGCCAGAGGCTGGAGGTACGGGGTGGCGAGGATGGTTGGAGGTAGGGGTTTGGGGTGGATGGCCGGAGGTAAAGGGGGTATGTAATTAATTTTTTGGCAAAAACATAGAAGAAGATATATAATTAATTTTTGAGCAAAAACATAAAAGAAGAAAAATTATAAAGAGACTTTTTTAAGTGAAAATTTTCATGGAATCCCTGAAAACCCACAAACTAATCTTAATTTTCATGCTAATATTAAAAAATATTATGTAAAAAACATAAAAGATGCCACTTTTGCAATAATTTCCTTAGCATTTAAAAGAAGATATCGATTTTAGACCGACA